GAGATTATAAGTTTTGACTGCTTAAATAATTGTCTTTAGTTTGAAAACTGTTGTGGCCCTGTTATGGCCAGAAATAAAGACGCAAGAGAGGAATTGAGTTAAACAAATATATTAACAGAAAAACAGTAATACAAACGAGAGTGTTACAGCAAGAATATTCGGTTCGACTGTCAGAGCTGACTGGAAACTACCGTCTCTAAAAAGGCAGTACCTACTCTTTTTATAGCTGGGAGAGTCCATGCGTGCATGGGTAAATTACCATAACATTTTTACACACACTGATTAAGGCCGTAGAAAAGTTAGACATTGGTATTTTTTAGACGTGACATCGTTTTTTTTTTTTTTTAATCAAGTTCACTCCAAGCAAGAGAGTAATGTCACTAAGACACAAGTGTGGAAGAATTAGAAAACAGAAACATTACTAAAGAGGGAGTACAGATAGACTTCAAAATCTCCAAGAGAAGACTGATATTCCTCAGATAATTGCATCTAAAAAAAAAAAAACCCAAAAAAGCAATATTTCCTTTCCGGAAAACCATCAAACCAGCTGAACACTTTCAACGGATTACTTGGCAACTAGATTAAATAAGAATTATCATCCGTCTTTAAGATTTTATTGACGTGATTCTGTCAACATAGTTAATCTATGCGATTATCACAGTTGAGAAATATTTTTTGTTGTGGCCTTATTAAGGCCAGAAATAAAGACACAAGAGAGGAATTGAGTTAAACAAATATATTAACAAAAACGGTAATACAAATATATACAAACGAGAGTGTTACAGTAAGAATGTTCGGTCCAACTGTCAGAGCTGACTGCTGGAAACTACCCTCCTCTAAAATGCAGTACCTGCTCTTATTTATAGCTGGGAGAGTCCATGGGTAAATGTTGTGGACCCAGAATAGGTCCGAAAGAAAACTCTAACTCAGCAATTTAGTGAAAACGTATTATTAAACAAAAAGAACGAATACAAAAAGGATGCACGTCCGACTGACGGCAAAATACAGTAGTCATCTCGTCAACTGTAGACAGCGATATTTAACAGTCCCCCCACAAGGAATGTATGTGGCACAAAGCCGAGTTTAACGTGGGTTTCTCCGAGCCCGTAGGCTCGGCCAAAAATATACCCTTTAAACCTGTCTAGACGGGTTCAGGGCCTGTCTACCTCCCCAGACGAAACTTTGCCGTTCGACAAAGCTTCGTCCGGGTTCCTCTCTGCCAAAGCAGAGAGTTCGACAGAAGTCGTACACAGAAGACGTACACAGTCAGAGACTGCGGGTCAACTGTAGACAGCTCTCTTGAGAGGCATAATCTCCCTGTATATATAGTAATACGACGAGTCCATTTAGTCCATAAAGGTAGGTCCCATAACAGTAAATTACCATAACAAAAACCAAACTAGTTACTTTCCATCATCATCGAACGAACACTGAACTACCAACAGTGACGATGTATGGATGTTCCCTCATAGAGGCTCCATGTCTTGGCCGACTATTGAGCATCAAGCTCAATCCAGATCTCAAATCGAACTCGTAGATAAAGATGCAGGAAAAATGCTCAGTCCCCTGTACCGCTCCAGTAATTACCTGACTCTTTGTACTATCTTCTACATTTATAAGAGCCAGATCCGGCCTAAAATGGAGTACTGCTACCATATTTGGGCAGCAGATGCCCAGTCCCAACCTCTCAGTCTCGATAGAATCCAAACGCGTCTCCGCGTCCTTGTGGGTGACAAATTATTATTTCCACTCAGAGACTAGATGTTGCAAGCCTCTCACTAATCTATCGCTGCTTCCATGGAAAGTGCTCAGACGAACTACATTCCTCCGTTTCACCAGTTCTAACCTTCACAGCTAGGAGCCGCCATGCTGCGCACATTATAGCGAATTATCCTCATCCCCTCCGTATTCCACTGGTGAAAAGTAAGTTCCAGTCGAGCAGCCTCTTAACTCGAGCCGCTTCTCTGGGGAACCGACTCCCAAGGGGATTTTTCCCCGATCACTCCAATCTTAAGCTGTTCAAGTTTAGAATCAAACATTATCTTCCCCATCTATCCGCATAAATTATGCCTGTTACTCTATAACCCTCTACCTCGAGTGGCTCCAGGGCTTTGTATAGGCTGAAACTCACTATAAAAATCTATAAGTAATAATAATGATAATTATAATAATAATCATCTTCCCAATGACCGGTTGTGGTCGAAGGGTCGCTGAGCAGCTGAGTACCTGATCAACTACACCCGTATCTCGGTTGTGTGCCAAAGCTTCAATCTCTGTCAATAATCTGCCAATTGATTCAGTGATGCCAGCTCATTTTTTACCTTTTGTCTGCCCTCCTGGTAGTAATTTTCCAAGCGTAGCTTAGTTGTGGCACAAGGCCGAAAGAAGGAGGCACTCAGTGAGTATCGAACTCACTACTCAGCCGTAATTGTTCTAACGAGACAAGCTTTATTTACATTATTCGGACTATCTTTGTCGCTATACTTATTACAACGTTTCGGCCGTTGACTTTCTGTACACAAACAACACTTTGGAATGGGATCACACATATATCGATAGGATGAGGGCTTGGCAATGGGCTAGCCATTATAACCAGCAATGGCGAATATATACATGGAATACTTTGACGAAATGGCATTAGAATCTATATCTCTAAAGCCTATGGCTAAGGTACGTAGATGACACCTTCATACTCTGGCCACACCAGGAAGATATTCAGGTTCTACTGGACCATGTGAACTCAATAAAACCTTCGATACAGTTCACGATAGAGAAAGAGAGTAACAGCTCACTCTCATTCCTGGATGTTTTAATATCTCGAACAGAGCATGGGTTCAAGACATCCGTATACCGTAAACCGACATTCACAGGACAGTACCTCAATTTCAACTCTCACCATCCATACAGCGTAAAGAAAGGAATCGTTCGCTGTTTATAACACCGAGTAAAATTCATGTGGCGACCCAGAGACATTAGGTAAAGAATTGGTCAGTATAAATAGTACTCTAAAACGTAACAAATACCCTGGGCACATGGCAGCAGCGCCCCAAAACTGGGATAGGCGGGTACAAGAGGAGGACAACAAAACTCAGAAAACAGTCTACCTGCCTTATGTGAAGGGGATATTAGAGAAAATAAAAAGGATCTGCGGTCCATATAACATCAGGACAACCTTCATAAGCTGGATGACACTTCGCAGAAATCTCTCCCGAGTAAGACCCCCCCCATAGAGGAGAACATGACCAAAGACTGTGTATACGCCTTCCTGTGCAGCTGCGGAAAGAAATATAAAGGGGAGACAGGCCGCCCCCTTAAGGTAAGGCTTCAAGAACACCAGAAAGCTGTAACACGAGGGGAAGTAGAAAAATCAGGCGTGGCTGACAACATATGGAAAAGGGAGATCACCGCTCTCTGTGGGATCAATTTAAGATCATAGACAAAGAACACCATTGGAAAATTCGTAAACTTAAGGAATCAGCGCATATGTTAGGCCATAGAAATCTCCTGAGCCAACCAAGCATAGAAATGAATACAATATGGGAACTAGTAATAAGGAGTGCTAGAGAAAAGCGATAACAACAAAAATTGCAATATGAGTTCTGGTAAAAACATGCAATGATAACAGCAAAAATTGCCATATGAGCACTAGTAAAAGATTGGTTGCTGAAGACATTAGGTTTATAATACCAAGAAATTCATACACAGATGTCCTCCAGGACACATGGCACAGAGGATAAAGGCGTTAGTTAGATCCAGTGACAGGACCCAAAGAGTTCAATACCCGGTTAAGGCAGTGGAGAACTTGATATTCCATTAATCTCAATCTTTCTGTATGCTTGTGAATCATGGAATTACAGGTCCAGGTATTAGTAGTAATGAGATGCTACAGAACTATCCAAAGCAGAAATGAGGCATTGCTAGTCACTACCAAACAAGAAACAAGTCCATTGGGAGACCTAGTAACCACTGTCAATAAAAATAGAGAAATTGAACTGGTATGAACATGTACATGAATAATTGTAACCATATTTCAAGGAGGGCATCTCAAGGCAGTGTAATGGTTAGAAAGTTTGTCTCGTATCTGTCTATATTTCTGAGATGAGGTATTATGTACATTATTTACATTATTCGGACTATATATGTTGCCATATTTATCACAACGTTTCGGCCGTTGTACGCTCCAGCCTTCTTCAGGTGGTTGGAATGTGGGACTGAACCCTTTATTTCGCTCACTGGGGTAGACTGTTCTAGTTCCACGTGCCATTTCTAATGGATGTCAGTTATCAGTTATCTCCTGTTAATTCCCCTCTCCAAATTCTCCACCGTCTTAACCAGGTATTGAACTGACACTCTTTGGGTCCTGTCACTGGATCTAACTAAAGCCTTTATCCCCTATGCTCTGTGCCCTTGACGATGGTAGTCCGAATAATGTAAATAGTGTACATAATACATCATCTCAGAAATATAGACAGATACTAAATAGTTATTGTTGGTAATTTTGCTAAAAATAAATAGTTAAACAGTTATAAATTGCTAGTAATAAAATGTATTTTTATACTTTCATAGTGTTTTGTTTTTGTTTTGGGGTTGACTATTTGCCCATAGCTGGCACCCTAACAGGTACTACCATCCTGGGTCAGTGTTTCACTCTCCTCAAAACCTCCACTCTACCGATCCGAGGCCATGCTGTCGGATTTAGTTTATCATCATACCCAGGATTAAATTGAGAAGACCAATGCACGCAACAGTCTCATCTTTGATTCTTACGCACATGTACTTGTCTTGCCAGATTTTTTTTCTAGTTTTGCGACAGCTGCCATTATCTGTGTCGCTCTTGAAATTATCTCTATTCTGGAACCATCTTCGCTGAAAATCGAGCCATGGCATTTAAATTGTCTGACTATTATAAGTTTCTGATTACTGATTTTATCTTGGTCGAAAAAGCCCTTTCTCATTGCTCGTCATTATTTTTTTTTGCAGCATTAATCTCCATAATGTATATGAATGATGTTTCATCCAAATTCTTTTCCAGACACGTGAGTTCCTCTTTGTCAGCTAGACCATCTATGTCGTCTGCGTGTTGAAGGTTTGTGAAGTTGCGACTTCCGATGCTGGTGTTCCTCAAAGGCGTTTCTCATGATGTTTTCTGGGAGAGTAGAACATAAAACAGTCTTGGCATACACCGACTGATTCGTACAATCACTTTCCCATAGAACCCTGGAACAGTACAGTATTGTTTGCTTTAGCATACAGCTGCTGGATAGTATGAATCAACTTTTTACCCTTTTCATATTTATTCATTGTTGCCCATAATGCCTCATGCCAGATTCTGTCAAAGTTTTTGGCGAAGTCTATGACAACGTGGTAGATGTTTTGGTGATGTAAGTATTTTTCGCATACAACTCAAGAGATTGAATATCTTTTATTGCACTGCGTCTTACACGCCGGTGTCTACCACAGATGAAAATTTGTCTCCAGCTATCACAACACTAACTGTTGGGATATCTGGCAACGAATATCCACAAGAGAAATCGTAAATAAATAAACTAATATATTTTTTCATATATTATGATAGATTAACGTGTTTGTAGATTCGCACAGATCTCAGGTGGATTTTGATTTGAAATTTTCATTGTATAATGTTCGATGTTATTCATGTTCTTTGTTGAATTAAGTGCATTGACAAGGAAGGAAATTATATTGCAAAATAAATATTGGGCAACATATATTCTTGCAAGAACTACTTCTCCTGATCACGGACTTTTTCTATTTATCCTTTTCAGGACTTGGGGGTTCATGGCTCTCCACAACTTCCTAATCCCTGTTCTGCTAACCATTTAGGTAGATTAACCGCTTCTTTCCTCCGTCCCTCTGGTTGAAAAGAAAGAAAGACAATAGTAAACTTCTTCTTCTATGTGTTGTGTCCCTTCAGGAAGTTGGCAATCATGGCTCTCCACAATTTCTTGTTCTTTGTAGCTCTTAATAAATATTGTCTTTTTTTATCTCTTCTAAACTTTGTTCCGCCATCCATTTATTCAAGCATGTTAGGTAGGTTGTGCGCTGTTTCCCTCTGTTCCTCTTGACTTCATAATATCCTACGAGTGTCAAATTCTCCGAGCCCTCTTTCTTCATTATGTGCCCTAGAAATTTCAACGGTCTCTTTCTGATTCTAAGTTTAAACTTCCTTTTTGTTTCTATTTTCTCTAAAACTTTGTTGTCGCTCATAAGTTCGGTCGATGGTATTCTAAGCATCCTTGTGTAGAAGCACATTTCTGTTGCTTCAAGTCTCGTCTTTATCCGTAAAAAGATTTTCCAGCATTCACTGTCATCTAAGATGACCGATATTACATAACAGATCAATGCTCTTTTCTTTGTTTCTAGCGAATATATAGTTTTAATACTTTGCTTAGCTTTTGGAAAACATCTTTCTCTATTTCAATATGCCATTGCGTTTCGGGTTAGCATTTCATGTCCTCTATTAATACATTTCCCAGATATTTACATTGTTGCATTTAACTTTGTGATAACGTCAGATATGCGCATTTGAGATAATTTAGTCGTTAGTTGTTACCATAAACCGTTCTCAACCACTTCCTGTCTGTTAACGTATTTATTATTTTCTTTTACACGCCATGTCTCGTCAGGACAAAAATGATTATGGCTCTCCCCAACTTCCTGTCTACCGTGCATTCATCCAAACTAATAAGGCAGATTACTCGATGTTTCCCTCTGTCTCTACTTTCTTGACTATGCCCTGTGAGTGTTTAATTTTCCAAACTTTTTTCTGTTGCCTCAAATTTCTTCTTCAGCTGTGTTGATATTATCCAGCAGCCATTGCCCTATAGGAGAACCTATAACAGTCCAATACTCTGCTACTAACAACATTTTCTTGTTTCTTAATACTTTGCTTTTCTTTTGGAAGGCATCTTTCGTTATTGCAATGCAACTTCAGATATCGATGTCGCATTTTCCGCCCTCTGTTAAAACTAGGTACCTCTATTTTTTCATTGAAAAAAAAAACGCCCAAAAAACAAAACACAAAACACAAACAAACACAAAAAACAGCATCGCGTGATGCAAAAGGCACCAAACTGAATAAAGGCAAAGTTTTATCCTCAAAATGTTTGTTATTATTAAGATAAAAGTATTTTTAATTATTTTATGAAATTTTTAATCCTTTCTGCGCGTTCGAAATTTTGGTTAAAATCTTGTTTTCTTTTTGTTTTGTTTTTTTCGTCAGCGGCCGACGTAATATTTACGATTAGTGTTTTTACATTTTAATGAAACTTTCAGGACTTATTCACAAATAAATGAAAATAATTTTGATTTTTTTTCTTTTACAAAATCTTGGTAAAAAAATATATTTTTTTTTGCATATGTCACTACTTTCATTAAATTGCAATCACAAAATTTGTTTTTTTTTTTTAGTTAAAAGCAGGACTCTTCGGAGAGTGTAAACGATCAATTTTTTTTCAAACTACTGCCCATTTCCCGAAAATCTGCTCTCAATCGTAAAATGCAATAAAACTATAACATTATTTAATTAGAAAATCTTTTAATTGCTTTTATAAATAAGAATTATTTTTCTTTAATTAATGATTACTATTGTCTTAAGAAAACATTTTTCGATAAATAATAAATTTTTATATGGTTTGTTTATATATATATATATATATATATATATATATATATATATATATATATATATATATTCATGCACATTTCATTAAATAATATAGACAAGTGTTGTCTATTTATTTTATGTAAATTTTTTTCGTAACGTCTGATAAGTTTAATAACATTATCGTTGAACGAAGAAAGAAATTCACAATATTGATCCATATTTTTTTAATACAATCTAAGCTTTCGGCTTACATAAGCCATTATCAAAGATGTCAATTACAACATATTAAGCAATATATGGACACGACAGTGATGATAGTCTGTCATTGTTTACATAGATGATTTCTAAGCAACGATAAACACGCGCATATAAGACTATATATATATATATATATATATATATATATATATATATATATATATATATATATATATATTAATTTTAATTATAATAATTCATGATATATAAATCATTATAATTCTGCATTACTTCAATCCTGTTAGGTGATATTGTTATTAAGTGAAAACTATATTTACGAATAAAAAATTGAAAAGCTTAATACAAAGTATTTTGCTTTAATTTTAAAAATAATTTAAATTTTTTTTATACATATATGATATTACGTAACGTGCCCCTGTTTGAAAGTATGGTCAACCATACACGACATTATTAGGAAATAAGAGCGATGGCAATAATAATATCAAAGTCAGCATTTCTTAAATTAGATTACGGGAAATATTTTCCAACATTTTAAATATTACTGAGTGCTTAAAAAAGGCGCTCCCCTGTCATTTTCTTAAATTATGTTTTTACAGATAAAGTCTCCGTAGAATTACAAATAAATCTGCCAACTCATTTTAGCGCTTGTTATGTGATAAAAAAACGCGTAAATCACCGCTAGTGTTTTAAAAAATCCATTTGTCCGTTATTTTAAACTTAATGTAAATCATATTTACTTAAAATAAATAATATTTTTTTCATATTAGATTAATTATACTTTAAATCAGTGATATTCCTCAAATAAAGTTACAGAAAAGTATATTTTCTTTTTGGAAGATTTTTAAAATCAAGAATTAACATTTGTTTACAAATGTGTCCAAATGGCTGATTTTAAACGATTTATGAAAGCGACCAAAAAAATTGATTGTTTTCAATCAATATAATTTCTATTTGAAATACAAGAGTATTTTACTTATTGGAAATAGTAAATTTAATCGTTTAGCTTTCAACTAAAGCTAAAAAGAAAGCTTCAAGAATATTTTTTTCATTTTTCAAAGTTCATTTTAAACCAAGGTATTGGAACTGAGTTGAGGTACCTAGTTAAAACACTTCCTAGATATTTTCATTTTTGTACTTGCTTGATTTCGGTGCCTCTAACAACACCGTATCTATCTATCTATATATCTATCTATCTATCTATCTATGTTCATTTCTTTCTTTCTTTCTTTTTTTTTTCTTTCTTTCTTTCTTTATTTATTTCTAAGTCGGTTCTTTTTTATCTATATTTTTTCATATCTAAGATGGTTCATTTTTTTTATCTATCTTTGTTTCATTCTTTGGTTGTTTTTTTTTTTTTTATCTATCAGACAATCAGCCTAATGAGCCACATAACAAAACTCATCATCCGAATTCTGATGAATAAAGCGGGCAGCAGAATCAGGCCAGGAATAGGACAAGAACAGTGCGGGTTCGTCAACGGAATGTTATCAGAAAGAGCAATACAAATGCAGAAGGATCTGTACCTATATTTTTTAGATTACGCAAAGACGTTCAATAAAGTATGCCACAAAGATCTGTTAGGGTTGCTCAGCAACATTGACATATTCTGGAAGGACATTAGAATAATCAAAAACTGGCAGCAAATCGCCTGCATTCGGACATAAAATGAGTTCAGCAGATATACAAAAAATAGAAGACAAGGTGTGTAAGACAAGGATGTGTCTTCTCGCCGGATTTATTTAACCTATACAGAGAGGCAATTCTGAAAGAATTAGAGGTTTTACCAGGATTCATTATTGATGTCCACAATCTTAACAACGTAAGATATGAGGATGACACAATGTTGATAGCAGACACGGAAAGGAAACTACGAAATCTCCGATAGAAGGTAGAGAAGGAAAGCGGGAAGAAAGGACTAAGTATAAACTACAAGAAGACAGAATGCATGGATATCTGCAAAAGATGAGCCCAAAATGTAAATTACAAATCGGGAATACTAAAGTCAAACAAAAACAAAAATTTAAATACCTGGGAAGTGTTCTCACAGAGGATGTAACACTGAGATCCGAAGACGTATTGGAATGGCCAAAGATGCATTCCAAAAACTAAGCAAAGTATTAAGAGACAGAAAAATGTTGTTAGAAATTTAGAAGAGAGTATAGAACTGTTACGTGATATCTGTACTCCAATATGGCAGCGAATACTGGGCAATCTCGTCAAAGATGAAGAAGAAACTTGACGCAACAGAAATGTGCTTCTACAGAAAGATACTGAACCGAACACGTGGGCAGGAACAAGGTTTTGGAGAAAATAGAAACAAAAAGAAATCTTATAATTAGCATCAGGAAGAGGTTGTTGAAGTTTCTGGGACAAGCAATGAAGCCTTGGAAAATCTGATACTCATGGGACAGGTTGTGGGAAAGAGGAAACCAGCGCGTAACATACGTGATGAGCTTGAGAAAATGGATTGTAGAAGAGGGTTTGGGAGAAATAAAAAGATAAAACTGCAAGAGACAGGAAGATGTTCAGGGCTATAATCGCCTACACCCTAAAAGGGCACTACACATAAAATAAGAAGAATCTTTGTTCATTTGAAAGTTCTTTCTTTCTTTCTTTCTTTCTTTCTTTCTATGTTCATTTATAAGTTGCTTCTTTTTATCTATCTATCTATATATCTATCTATCTATCTATCTATCTATCTATCTATATTTGTTCATTTTTAAATTTTTTTCTTATCTATCTATCTATCTATATTTGTTCATTTTTAAATTTTTCTTATCTATCTATCTATCTATCTATCTATCTATCTTTGTATCATTTTCTATATTTTTTCATTATTTCAAAATCTATTTTTCTTATCTATCTATCTATCTATCTATCTATATTTGTTCATTTTAAATTTTTCTTTTTTCTATCTATATTTGTTCATTTTAAATTTTTCTTATCTATCTATCTATCTATCTATATTTGTTCATTTTTAAATTTTTTCTTATCTATCTATCTATCTATCTATCTATCTATCTATCTTTGTTCATTTCTATGTTGTTTGTTTTTATCTATCTGTCAATCTGTCTAATTTTGTCCATTTATATATATGTATATCTAAACTTGTATATTTTTTCCTATCTGACAGTCTATCTCCATTGTGTATTTAGAACACAGTCATTTTTTCATACATCATGGTCCCTTGGACGTAGTGTGCTGGTTAAGCAAACTTGTCTGGCTCGATCAATTGCGTCTGAGTAGTGAGTTCGAATCTCACTGCGTATTTTCCTTCTAGCGACCAAAAGTCGTTTACAAAGTCGCCATTTCTTCAGACATCTTTGGTTCAAGACAGCGGACTAGGAATGTCATTTTACCTTTATTAACCTCCCGAATTTCCGTCCAGTGTTAAATGGTGAGTATAAGTCAGAAATACCCAACAGTCTTTTAATCGAACGCTTCCATCTACACACTTAGTTATTATCAAGACCCAGAACATCACACATACACACGCAGACACTAACCCATGCATATAAACATAGGATTTCTGAGTGCTGGTCGGATTTTCCGTTTTTTTTCTATTTTTTAAGAAGTCAAAAGTATAATAAAACAAGTGGGTATTAACTCAGCAAAGTAACATTCAACTTAAATGTCATAATCGCTCTTCGCCCAATCATTTACGTTAATAACTACGTCTAGCGTTTTTTTTTGCTTTTAGGTTTTCGTTTTCCTATAAGTCTTGATTCTTCTTTTTTATGACGTTAACCTTTTCTGAATGTTTTCCATCATATTTTTGTACTGATATTTATCAAGTGGTTTATAAAGTTAATCGAAGTATCTCGGAACATGGCGGACGCACGCTGTCGTTTTTTTCCGTGCCTAATCGCACAATTTCGATGAGGCTAGTTGCCATGACAGGAAGGTAAGTAGATAAATAGATGTATATGAAAATACTAAAATGTTGCGTTGCGTCATAACTAATTTACTTTCCTTTTTTATCAACTTCATTCTTCAAAAAAACAAAAAAAAAATTACACTATATTCATTTATATATTCACCATAATTTGCAAAGTCTTGTTGCTTTTTATCAGGCTGCTCTTTCATACTTTTCCAGTAAAATTCAGTAGGTTTTAATCTGTTCGTTATATTCCGTTATGACCTTTGGAAAGGAATGGACCTATCTCTTCTCCACCAGCTATGGGCTAAATAGTTGTACTTGTTATCTCCACATAATTGGCAATTACATATTCACTCGAAAAAAAAAAATTCTTACAATCCAGAAATAGGTTTCGGCTTTAAATAACCCACAAAAAGGTTGATAAACCGTAAAAAGAAAAAACAAAAAGAAATCAAATCAAACGATAATTTATAGCTGTGTACTTATTGATATGGTTTCTTTCTCTCTCTCTCTCTCTCTCTTTCTTTTCTCTCTCTCTCTCTCTCTCTCTATATATATATATATATATATATATATATATATATATATATAAAATCGATTCTCCCCGTGGGATCGACGATCATTTCCAGGAAAATGGCCCACACCGGCACATGAGATTCGATTATAGTGGTGTGATGGGCAGGAATACACTTTTGAAGGACCTGAATGGACCTGGTGCACTACGTGCCACAAGGTCCCCAAACAACCCCCCTCAGGTTTTGAATTCAGAGTTTTCCTTCTCCTAGACCAGTTGCCATCCGAGGCTATTGAACCCAGTCTGTCTTGCTATTTAACCCATATCTGGAGGGAGAAGAAGAAGATTCACACCTTTCCCAAGGGTATTAGCACGTAAGTGAATGTAATGGGTTCAACCTGGATTCGAAATATATAGGGGTACCCCCAAAATTGACATAATTTGAAATGTGAATATCTCGGTAACTCCATATCCCAGGCAAAGGAAATTAAATAGGCTTCATGATGAACAATAAAAGATTTGTGTATTAAAATTCGAACACGATATTCAAAGGGATATAGTTTATAACCGATTTCCCAAATGTTTAATATGCACGCCACATGTGACACGAGAGAAGTCGGTAGTCCAACTCCTGCCAAACACGCTGTAGCATGACCCTCTAGGCGTGTAGCAAAAGGGGGATATAGAACTGTCCTTTCACTCAGCCTCATAGAAATATAATCACAAGGTGTCACGTTAGGTGCACGTGGTAGCCATTTCAGCAGTCATTATCGCTGGCACGCCCAATCCATCTTTTTGGTAGATTCTCATTGAGATACGTCCGAAAATCTAACTTTGTTTTTAAACATTTTGTTAAAATTTGAGCGAGAATTGACTATGTTATTAAACTGCAAAATGATCTCAATTTTTGTGGGATGGTGGTGGTGGCATACCCTGTATATTATTCGATGCGCCTTCGGAATAGTATTGTAACTGTCAAGACGATGGAAGTTCGACAGTCTTTGTTTCATTTTCCGTCGCCTGTTAGTACACTACCCAGATACTACCATTATTTTCCTTGATTCTGATATCTTCAATTCGAAGCACATGTCTTTGGTTGCCATTTTTTTTCTTTTCTTTTTTTTTTTTTTACTGACAACTTGGCATTTTGTTTTTCGTTAGTCCTTTCTTCCCACCTTCTTTTGCTACCTTCTCTATGAGTTTTTTTGTAGTTTTCCTTCTGAGTTCGCTATCAGCATAGTATCATCCGAATATAATTAAAAAAAAAAAAAGAATTTATGGAGATGACATAAAAAAGCGGATAAAAATAGAACAACGTCCCTTTGAATTTACCGCTGATTAATTAAATGACCGGAGTTTGGATCACAGAGTCATTGTAAACTCTAAAATCCTTTTGTTTGGTGCATAGTATGTGCTTCGATAGGGCTTTTTGAATTAAGAGTTTTCCTTCTTCTAGAGTGGTTGCCGGCCATGGATGAAGAGTCTAGTCTGTCCTACTATTTAACCCATAGTTGGAGGGAAAAGATGGATCTATATCTTTCTCATGGGTACTTCCACGAAATTGAATTTCTTGAAACACGACTGGAATTCGAACGTAGCTTTCTGATTCTGAGCCACTATCCATTACACGAACAGTATAGACCAAGATTAAATTGTTTTTTTTTTTATAATCGATTTCACCTCAAGCTGGACAGCAAAGCCACTAAGACACAAGGAGGTTACTGAGCGTGGAAGAATTAGGAACAGAAACATTATTAATCAGCGGGAAGACAAAAGAGTAATCAGGAGGACAATAAATAGCGATTGATAATTGCATTTAAATTTCTAGAGATTAAAGTTGGCTGGAAAGGATGGAACCGGAAGGGAGTGTAGAAGTGCGGAAGTGCCAGAAAAGGAACTGTCAGTGTAGAATTTGCGGCTACATCTAGCCAGCTCAACTGTAAATTAATGAGACCTCTCCGCCAGTCTAGTACTGCGCTTAAATTCAAAACATCTAGGTACCATAGCGAAGAGCTCATCCAAATAATTACCATGAAAATAATGATAGAAAAGACACAGGAAAACAACCTTACGGTGGTGGGAAAGTGACTGAAGCCGAGCAACCAGATCAGGACCGATAATATCGCTGATTCTTCATCGGATTTTATCAAGGAGCTCAAAGTAAACAGCTGGGGTACCGGACCATAAATGTCAGCAGTATTCTAAGTATGGATTGAATGGTAGACTTATAGCTATCTATAATAATAATATAATTCTGGAGGGAAAGATCGTTTCGCACGACACAGGGAACCAACTTTCTTAGCAGCTGACCTAGCAATGGATTTATTATTTTCTCTAATTAAGCCCCCCCCCCGGCCTAGACAGAAAAAAAGGCAGTAACGATAAAATTCTTTCATGAAGACTATTTCTAACATTCCATGGAAAGGTTATCTAAACACGGATAAGTGACAGATGAACTAATAGAAAATCCACTGTAGGTATTTGCCTATTGAAACACTTGTAAGATTAACCAGCTTAACTGTGAGAAAAAAATCATATTAACTGAATTTTCATCTACATAATCATAATCATAATAATTATTCATAATCATAAGCACAATATTTATAATCATAATCATAAACACTGTATGATTAACCATATCAACTGGGAACAACTTTATATTAATTTGATTTTCATTTACATAATTGTTATATATGAACACTAATGGATATGTCCCAATCCTCATAAATACGTTGGACACTATTGTAAGTTGCTGTGTGTGTGTGGGGGGGAGGGTAATATGATGTCTATGTAGCCCACCACCAGCAGTGGTTTACCTTCTTCACGCCGCTGGCGAGTATTGTATTTTGTTGATGTTATAAAGATTACCATTTCATTTCCAAGCTCCGTTTTGGTTATTCCTTATTCAATAACATTTTCTAGGTTACAACAGTTCATATCTATCTATCTATCTATCTATCTATCTATCTATCTATCTATCTCATTTTGTTCATGTTATATACTATACCTATGAACACTAATGGGCATATTCCAAACCTCATAAATACGTTGGTCATTATTGTAAGTGCGGGTAATGCACTGTCTAAGTAGTCCACCACTAGCAGTGGTTTACCTACTTCACGGCGCTGGCGAGTATTTTTGTTGATGTTATAAAGATTACCATTTCATTTCCAACCTCCGTTTTGGTTATTCTTTATTTAGTAACCTTTTCTAGGTTACAACAATAATCATTATCATTATGCATAATCATAATCACAATGTGAATGATCATAATCATAAAGATTGTATGAGGAACCATCACAGCTGGGAGCAAAATTATATTAATTGGTTTTTCACAAAGGGAACTTCACGGAAAATCTTCACCGTCCTCGTTAATTTATGCGTGATCATTAGTGCAGAAATAATGAATCCAATATTGATTTTTTTACATTATCGACTCGAAGAATTGTCGCATCCAATAACAAAACGTGTTGATTTGTTAAATTTTTATTGGGAGCCATAATTGGACAGGGAATAATACGTCAGTGTTTACGTTCAATAGACATCTGAGCAACTAGCATAAGAAGGAGAACCTTTTTTGGAGACAAAGGATTCCTGATGTCATAAGGATCTTATCGGTGCTCAAGTAGTTGGCAATGATTTAAAGTGGGCTTCAAGCCTAATTAAAGGTGCCATGTTGTTGTGTTTTCAGGATTTGACACCTCCCCATAAACACTCTCTTCCTTATCTCTCTCTCTCTCGGTTTGTTTCACTGTCGACATGCATAACTAAAAAAAGATATAAAGCCTGAAGATGAATGACATTAGTCATAAACGTCTATTCATTGTTCAATCGTTCTTTTATTACATTCCTGCTAACATCATATAGATCTGAATATTATGATCTCTCTCTCTCTCCCACTCTCTCTCTCCCTTTCTCTCTCTATCGACGTCGCGTGAACCGTATTCCCGTCGTCGTCGTAGTGACCGCGTTTTGTCGACGACGAGGGGCTAGCTGTCGATCCGTTGATGACGAGGCGCGCCGCGACGGCAGAAGATAGGTACGCGTCGCCGTTCTCTCTGCGGCACGACCGCACGCGCTATCGACCACCGGCGCGCATGATCGGCCATCCCACGTACGCCGATGGTCCGCCGAATTAAAAACAAGTATGGGTATGTGTTTGCCCATTTTTTAAAGATTTTATGTTAATTAAGAGTATATAAAAACCCCTTCTTTGAATCATTCTCCCTATGTACCTTGAACATCATAATAAAATGTCGCAAACAAAAAAAGATTGAAAAAGAAAAGATATAACTATTTCAAACACATTTAAAACTGTTATATACCGTACCTATGAACATTAATGGCTATGTTCCAATCCTCATAAATACGTTGAGCACTATTGTAAGTAGGGGTAATATGCTGTATAAGTAGTCCACCACTAGCAGTGGTTTACCTACTTCACGCCGCTGGCGAGTATTGTATTTTGTTGATGTTATAATGATTACCATTTCATTTCCAACGTCCGTTTTGGTTTATAGGTTGCAACAAAAACAAATTTGTAAACATTTTCTGTCTATATTTCTGAGATGAGGTATTATGTACACAAATTTACATTATTCGGACTATTGTCCTCATCTTTGTCTCCATATTTATCACAATATTTCGGCCTTTCACTATCTGTCTATATTTCTGAGATGAGATATCATGTACACTATTTACATTATTACGACAATTGTCCTCATCTTTGTCTCCATATTTATCACAACGTTTCTTCAGGTGGTTGGAATGTCGAACTGAACCCTATATTTCGCTCACTGGGGTAGACTGTTCTCGTTCCACGTGCCATGTCTAATGGATGTCAGTTATCAGTTATCTCCTGTTAATTCCCCTCTCCAAGTTCTTCACTGCCTTAACCGAGTATTGAACTCATACTCTTTGGGTACTGTCACTAGATCTAACCAACGCCTTTATCCACTGTACCATCTGTGTATGAATTTCTGGGTATTATAAACCTAATGCCTTCAGCTAACATTTTTTTTACCAGTGCTCATATTGAAATTTTTGCTGTTAATAGATAAGTGATAACTGACATCCATTAAACATGGCACGTGGAACTAGAGCAGTCTACCCCAGTGAGCGAAATAAAGGGTTCAGTTCGACATTCCAACCACCTGAAGAAGGCCGGAGCGTACAAGGGCCGAAAAGTTGTAATAAATATGTCAACAAAGATGAGGACAATAGTCCGAATAATGTAAATAGTGAAAACATTTTTCGTTCTTTTTTTTTTTTTTTTTTACTGGCTAAGATTAAACACACGTGACATCGACGATTGAAATCGGAGAAAGCAAGTAAATAAAAAACAACAAGAAAAAATAAAAACAACAAGAAAAAAATAATAAAAACAGCAACCACAAAAAATTAAAAACAACAACACCAAAAAAAAAAAAAAACGCTGTCAAAAACTCATTATCGGAAAGATATAAAATTATCGCCTTATAGCAAATTAACATTGCCTCGTTGACTGCGAATATATATTACAGATTGATTATTTTTCGTAAATGTATCTTTTTAATCACCTTCTCGCCATCTATCTACACCTTTATAGCTGTTTATTTCATATTGTTTTCATTATATTTCCAATTATGTAAAGATGTTTATAAGTTTTAACAAGAATGCGACGCCTGGTGAGTTTAAATAATCAGATAGGCGCGCTAACTCTTATTCTAGAAAAGACTTCAAATATTCAATTATATACAAGGGTGAATCAAAAAGACCGTACTTTATAACAGTTATTGGTGAAATTTTCATTTCCATGGTATTCAATCTATATATTGTTCTATATATTGTGTGACGTACGCTGGTCGTTAATGATTAAGTATAACTCAAGACTTCAATGTTAAGATAAAACAGTATTTAATTACAACCGCAAATAAATACTTAGCAAGAACAATGAAGTAAAAGTCAACCAAAAATAATTAACCATGTCAGTGAATATTATGTTAATAGCGCGGCTCAGCTTAACGTCTGGTAATTCCTAAATCAAAACCCAAATCATCGACGCACAATAATTCACACTAATTCGACTGGATAGTTCCACTCAATAATCACTACAGTCAGTAGCCTGACACCGCTATTTATACACCTGGCGGAAAACATACTCATAAGTCCAAATTGTCACGCTCGAACCTCGGTGTCTGGAGTTACTCATTTTCTTCGTATATGACAATATGATTATTGGAGAAGTTTTCGAGTTAAGCGCATTGATAAGGAAAGAAATGATGTTGAAAAATAAAATTGTTTTTGCGTAAAGTATTTTTGTTCATCATTAAGCCACGGATTTAATGCTGTACCGATTTACTAAGCTTGGCTTTCTAAGGTACGAGGAACGCGTGTTTATACAACTCACTTCTCTTGTATGTCTGATTCATTAAAGATCACGAAACGTTTTTAAAAAGTTTTTCTTTTTAATCAATTTTTGTTTAGTTACAAGCAGTTTGATTGTTGGTTCAAGAATTTGAATTAATTTCCCGATATTATTTCTGTAAATACCATTTTGACCATCTTCAAAAGTAAGTTTGTTTTTTTTTTCGATTGGGGTCAATTTAATAAATGTTATATAATCTATACATTGATCTTACAACTTCAGCTCTCGGGTAGCATGCCGCTTAACTGTTAGTGACGATCACGAGTCCCGTAACTCATTAGAGTCCTAGGGACACCACATGTACTAAAGCCGTAGAAGTGGTGTGTCTTAGGCAAGCTCAGAGTTTTTCTTCTCCTAGCGTAAACCGGTTGTCATCCAAGGCTATAGAACCCATTCTGTCTTGCTATTTACCTATTGGCCGGAGGAGAAGAGATAGATTCATACCTTTTACTTTCTTTGCGCGTTAGTGAACTCAGTTGGAATTCGAACTCGGCTCTCCGGCTCCTCAGCTTGAGCGGCAATCCAGCGTGCCTCCACTTAACTGATAGTAGCTCAATAAAAAAGCCATACTACAAGCCCGAACTACATAAAATGAAAATCATATTCCAACAGGAAAATAACATGCGTAGAAAACACGATGATGCAACCTGACATTAATAATGAGCAGGCATAAATTGTATCCATATGCTAAGATCTCAAACCGAAGACACTCAAGTACTTTCTCCAGATTTGTCTGCCCAGTGAAAAAAGCACGTAATGTATATAATATTTATATCACTTATGTGCCGTGCGTGATAAACGCTTAGGTGATCATATATCTTTCGATACATGACTCACGAGGCAGATTTTTTTCCCGCAGTAGGTTGCCATTTTCTTTAATTTAGATTTTGTTCAGCTGTGAATTTTTTCCATGGGTAATTCCCTCATGCTAATCTATGTTTTGTAGAGAAAATGTAACAGAAATCTGACATGTTATGACATTTTTAAATCCCCTGCTGACTTTTGGGATACCGTGTATCTAATTCTGATTTTTATCACTCATTGTCTTGATTTTTAGTTACTTCATGAGTGTAAATAAGAGAAAATGTTGAGAACAATGAAAATTTTTCAAATCTTGTGAAAATGATAAGTATATAAACAATCTCTATAAAAGACAGGATGTGTGTGTGTGTGTGTGTGTGTGTGTAACGAATGCACGGCCGCAATTTTCGACGGATTTGCACCAAAATTTACATGCACATGCTCCAAGTTAGTGAGAAGGCCAAGACCGACTTTGCCAACTCCCATCGATAGTGGAAATAATCGAATTTTTCATGCTTCTACGGCAGTTTTCATGTAGCTTGCGGCCATTTTGTACTGGCCAGAGTGAGAGCATATAGCTGGCTGCCACGAATAGGCAGGAAAATTCTATTGGCCAGCATGAGAGCCAACAGCTGACTGACACGAATGTTAACTAGTATGCTAGCATGCAAAAAAAATCGATAGCTACATTCATTACAAGTGGGAAAAATTTAAATCTGCATTGGCTCATTCGCTTGCTTAAACTCAACGTTGATTCCGATTCCGCAGAACTGGGTTGGGTGTGAAAAAGTATTTGTTGTTAACATTTTTTTTTTCATTGGGTTTTTCCAGTTACGAGTCCTTTTTTGAAGCTGATCGTTTTGTGTTCATTTTGTTTAGTTCTTTTTTCGTAACAGATTTAATGTTTAGTATAGAGCTTAGAAAAAATTCGCAGTGTGAGATAGGCAAGAAGTAAGGCATGTAGCAACATCAGCACGGCAAAGGGCACTCTCCTTTAAAGGCAAGGAAGGGCAAAAATATTTTAAGTCAAGTGATAGCGATTGCTGTATGAGTCGTACGATTTTTGAATCAAGCACGGGCAACGCCGGGCCATGCTGCTAGTATATTATAAAGCCAGTCAGTTATGTGCCATATGTGATACATGGTTAGACAATGATGTATCTTTCGATACATGACTGACGAGGCAGATTTTTCCCCGCAGTAGGTTTCCATTTCTTTCTGCTGTAGATCAGTTGCCACCCAAGTCTATAGAACCCGGTCTGTTCTACTATCTACCCATAACTGGGGGAGGGGATAAAAGAGGATTCATACCTTTCTCAAGGGTATTAACACGTAAATGAATGTAATGGATTCGGCTGGATCTTGGCTCTCCGATTCCTCCTCGATTCGAGCCGCTGTCCATTACTCCACTTCTCCTCCTGTAATGTTTATATATGTTTTTAATTAATGTTAACTCAATACAAGACCCAAGAGCCCCTCAAGGTAGAGGGTTACTGTGTGGTGTTGTGTTAGCTTAATAAAGGACAAGAAGTGAAGTTCCTGGAGCTATGCAGGAAACCTGTCAAGATAAAATTAGCTAATAACATTTCAGAGTTTAGTCGTAGGCATTAGAAGTATAGAGCGGAAGTAGAATTTATAATGAAACGGAAACCCAATCCTAAACAGGAGATAAACCTCTACTTCTGTTCAATAGACCGGTTAGGAGTGTGAACCCAACGAAAGGTGAACCTATCTACTCCAAATAGGAGAGAAGAGAAAAAATAATTAGTCAGAGCACAGTCGGAGGTGTTAGGAGTATAGAATTGAAGTAGACTTTAGAAGGAACCGGAAAC